AACAGGAGTAACTGAATAAGCAGTTGCAGACCAAGCAGTGGCATCACCACCAGAATGTGGTGAGGACAGCAGATGGCAATGGTTTCTCTCCTGAAAAGCCACGTATCCTTTGATGGTGCTGTGATGGGTGAGCAGACAGAAGATGTTAGAATCTTAATGGCTGTGGAGGCAGATGAAGGCTGCAGCAGAACAAGATTCCCGGTTGTCTTGGTCTCCTTGCCATTGGGTCAAGACCCTGTTCTGTCAAGAGCCATGTGGAAGCTTCTGTTCAGCAGCTTTTCCACAATAGAAAGTCACACACAAGCGTCTTCCATGCCAGCACATTCCTCAAGCCCTTTGGCAGCCAGTTCATGGTGATGGGAGCAGGACTGTGAGGTCTGGAAGCTCCTAGTTATGAACTGGCATGAAGGGCAGCAGTTACAAGAAGGCCATCTAGCACCTGGACAACACAGGAGTGCAATTCAGCAGCTGTAACTTTAACTGAACACCTTTTTCAGGATCTGCTCAGCTCACCCCACATGGGGAGGGGGCTAGAAAAGGTTCCTTAAACATAGCCTGTCTAATAAAATATTCAGTATTTCTTCCTGACTGGATAACTGCATCCAGTGGGATCACCTTTACTGTGGTCGAAAATACCAGCGAAGACGCACCATTATTTTCAGGACCTGGAACATGGACAGCCCTTATAGTGAATGCCCAGAGTGCCCCACTGCACTGAGCAAGACCTGGTGAGCAGGAGATGGGCAGCTTAAAAAACATAGAGGCCGGTATACCGTCTTCTGAAAGGGTAAACAGGAAGGAGAACGCTGACTTCACAGAATTGGCTTTGCCATTAAGACTGAACTCATAAACCAACTCAGTGAGGTCCCTATCAGAATTGAGTGCTTTGTGACTGTCTTAAACTGGTAGGGAGCCAGTATGCCACTGTCATAAGCTTGTATGCCCCAACTCTTGATGCAGCCAGTGAAATCAAAGAGGAATACTATGGCAGCCTTGACCATGCCCTTTCTGACATTCTGGAAGGACAGACAGACTTATTCTTCTCAGTGATTTCAATGCCAGAGTAGAAGGGGACTCTAACCTCTGGAATGGGAACCATCAGCAAGGAAGAAATAGGAAAGGTCAACTCCAGTGGCATCCTCCTCTTCACCAAATATGTGGAATATGGACTCACCATCACCAACAACTAGTCAGAGATGCTCTCAGAATCCCTCCAACTCTTGATGATGTGAGGGAAGCCATCAGGCAGATGAAGAACAACAAGGCATCTGGAGCAGATGGAATCCCCACTGAAATCTTAGAACAGGGAGGAGAGGAGCTCATATTGCAGCTTCATGCTCTCTTCTTAAGGAACTGGAATGATGAGGAAATTCCAGATGACCTCGGGGACACCATGACTATGACACTCTTCAAGAAAAGAGACAAGTCCGACTGTGGAAACTACAGAGGGATAGCCTTGCTGTCCACCACAGAAAAGATCATTGCTAGAAGCCTCCTGAACCATCTCCTTCCACTTGCTAAACAGCTCCTCCCGGAATCTCAGTGTGGGTTTAGGCATCAAGAGGCACAACTGACATGATCTTCACAGCTTGCCAGCTGCAGAAGAAATGTTGGAACAGCATGAGCCTGTCTATATGGCCTTCTTTGACCTCACAAAAGCTTTCAGCTCTGAGCCAAGAAGTGTTGTGGAGGATCCTTCTGAAGTATGAATGCCCACCAAAATTTGTCACTATTCTCTGCCTGCTCTGTGACAGTATGTGAGCAGTGGTTCTCCGTAATGGATCTATCACAGCTCCCTTTGAGGTTAAAACGGGAGCTAAGCAAGGCTGTATCATCACTCCAACACTCTTTTCAATATTCCTTGCCGCGATGTTACATCTGACTACCAACAAGCTTCCAGGTAGAGTCGGAGCTAAACTACCAAATAGATGGTAAGCTGTTTAACTTCAGCCGATTCTAAGCTGAAACCAAGATCACCCTGATCACAATCATTGAGCTTCAGTACACTGATGATACTGTAGCTTGCACTCCCTCAGAAGCAGATCATCAGGCATTGTCAACATCTTTACTTAAGCATACAAGAAAATGGGACTAATACTTAACATTCAGAACACTATAGTCCTCCACCAGCAGGCTCCTAATGAACAGTCCCCTATTCCAGTAATCCAGATCCACGATGAGACTGGAGAATGTTGAGTATTTCCTGTACCTCGGAAACCATCTCTTGCAGAAGGCTGACATCGATGAAGAAATCCAGCATCGCCTCAAATGTGCAAGTGCAGCCTTTGGACGCTTGAAGAAACAGGTGTTTGTAGATTATGACTTCAGATCTGAAACCAAGCTCATGGTTTATCAAGCAGTCGTGATCCCCACCTTGTTGTGCAGTGCTGAATCATGAACAATGTAGAGAAGACATCTAAAGTTGTTGGAGAAGTACTATCAGTGCTGATTACAGAAGATCCTCTGAATCCATTGGGAAGAGAGACTCACCAATATTGTACAACTTGCCTCAAGTCTTCAGTTCTGCAGGCAGAGTAAAGAGGTGCAACATGGAATTGATATATATCAATTAATATAAACTAGGATGTATGGCTTTATCTTGCTGGCTCAAACAGATACTAGAGGTGGGCTGATACTTATGTCTAGGAAATGGTAAAAAAGGATAAAGACGTTGGGGTTATAGTTACCTTTCACAAGGCTATGCTGTTTTAGCAGCTTGAAAAGGGAAAGTGAGTTGCTACTGTGGAGTGTGAGTTGGGCTTTATGATGGTATCTGCAGGCTCCTGTAGTGATACTAGTTAGCCAAAACACTATTAACATTTGTTTCATTCAGGGGTAAAGGTGTAACAGATTTGCATGCTGCTGTAGTGAGACAAGTGTAGCAAAAGTAACAATTGCATCATAACAGTTTACATTGGCATCTTTTGGTATCAATACAGTTGCTACGTTTTTCTGTATTCTCATATCCTTGAAGGTAATATACCAAGTTGAAGGTCGAGTTCTTCATATTAAGAGGAATTTATTGAACAAAACAAAGGCCAGCAGCCTTTTTCAAACCATGGGTGTGAGCTGGGCAGCTTCAGTGGAACGTCAGCAGCTGTTGGGCTTTCCCTGTGCCCCTGCTAGAACCACACAGCTGGGAGTTGTGCTGGGGCCAGCACTGTTTCTCCCAGCCACCCACTCCCTAGCTGCAGTGCAAGCACAGCTTCCAGCCAGAGAGAAGCTGCACCAATGCCACAGCCTTAGGGAAGGGGGAAGGTGCAAAGAAGCAACAGCAAGATGAGCAGTTTCCAGCTGTTCAGCCCCAGTGCAGTTCCTCACTGCTCAGCCCCAGTGCAGGTACAGGCACAGGCAAAGAGCCACAGCTCTATAGTTTGAATTCACATACCTTGCCGACTCTCTGCTCTGTGCTGTTGCATATTTATAGATTTTTCTTTTATGCTACTCATTTTTAAATAACCATTTAATGTGTACAAAGTGTGAAACTTGGGAAGGAAGAGAGTTGAGAATTGTTGTACTGTTTTCCTCCCAGTTAGCTTAATAATTTAGGGAGCCTTTCTTTGTGTGTCTGCCATATTCTCATGTTTGCTACTGTCATCCAGAAAGTAGCATTTGAACAGTGTGCAGGAGCCCAGTAAAGTCTTTATATTGACATTACAATAACCAAAGTCCAAAATTAGCTTATCCATTAAGATCTATTACTATATCACCAATATTTGTAATCAAAGCATGCATTTAATTAGCATTTCCATACACAAGTAAGATAGTAGTCTAAACAACATATTATATGATTTCACAATTAATTGAGCAGAAGATGAAAGTTTTAATACTGAAGGAGCAGCAAGAGAGAGTTTGTGTGCTTTATGTAACCAGGAATACAGGTAACTGGAACTTGTGGGAAAGCTTATTTGTTGATTTATTGTAAAGATAGAGTAGTATATAGTAAACCCACTAGACTGGGGTATCAAAGATGAAGCCTGCAGGCTGGATCCAGTCTGTGGAGCCTTGTCTTCTGGCCTGCAGTGATGCCTCCGATTCTTGGACTGGACCCATACACTGCATGTGGCATGCACTGATGACCAGCCGCACATGCAGTCATGGTCAGTGAACATGGCACATGGGGCTGGATCTGATGAATACCCTGTGCAGGGTGCTGGCTGGGGCTGGCACACCCAGTGCAGGGCCAGGGCTGGTATAGACTGCATGCAGTGCTTGGGGCCATTTCAGGACAAAGCCTGCATGCAGAAGACTGAGATTCTGGACTGCATGGTACATACAGCACCCTCACTGAACCAGCTCTGCATACTAGACCTAGTGTGCAAAGCTGGACTGTGGACCCAGTGTGGCCTGCATACCATCCTTGCACCACTCATGCAAGATCAAAGAGTTGGACACCCCTGCACTAGACATAAATTCCTGAGAGAGATCATGTTTGTGTATTCTCATGTGTCCCAAGAATCAAAATTGTTTCAATAATAAAAATCAAACTACAATAATAGTAAATAGTCACCTGCCTAGCCATGGTTAAATCTTCTTATTTTAATATAAAAGTTCTTTGCATGTATTTGGTATTGACAATTGGTTTTTAATTCTCCAAATGTATGAGTGCTTTAATTTTTTGCCAGAATTTAATATTAAGGCTGAAGCTTTCCATTTCTGCCTCAGAATTATTTTTTTTTTTTTTAAAGCTTCAACTAAAATATGTGAGCAGCCTTGGAGAATGATATGGAGCAGCA